GTTGCGAGCCTTTACATTCCATTTTTCATAGCTCACTTCATCGCCTTGAAGTTGTGTGGGATTCCTAGGTTTTGGGAACCCATGTGAGGCGGCTCTAAGTATTCCAACGTCTAGAGCTTCTAGGTACGCCTCTATGCGAATTTTCCAATATGGAAAATCATCCTCCTCGAAGATAGGAGGAGGTTCATCCCCGTGAGACATCTTGCTCTAAGCGATTAAGCTTAAAAACATGAGCACGAGGCTCTGATACCAATTGAAAGGATCAAGATGCCCAAGAGGATGGTGAATTAGGCTGATTCTAAATTTCTTCGCAATAAACAAGTCATATGGTTAGCCCAATTAACACCTTATGCCTAGAGAAGTGTTTCTATTAATCTAACGCACAAAAGTTTTGCAACATAGTTCCAATCCTACTCTAGCATGTTAATTCTAGGAATGTAAATGACAAGAATTAAAATGCTTCAAGTAAATGCTCAAAGTAAAAAGAGGAGAGGAAATGCGGCGATGTTTTGCCGAGGTATCGGAGAGTCACCACTCCCCACTAGTCCTCGTTAGAGCACCCGCGCAAGGGTGTAGCTCCCCTTGATCCACGCAAGGATCAAGTGCTCTCTACGGGTTGATTCTTTGACACTCCGTCGTGGTGAATCACCCACAACCACTCACAACTTGAGTTGGGTCATCCACAAGCTCTCTAGATGATCACCAAGCTCCCAATCACCATCAAGGCGTCTAGGTGATGGCGATCACCAAGAGTAACAAGCACGAACTCTCACTTGACCACGACAAGCCAAGGGAGAAGGGTGGATGCACACTTTGCTACTCTTAATCTTCACTAATGAGGGTTCTCTTTGGATTCTCAAATCTCAATCACCTCACTAGGACCTTACTCTTCTTGTCACTATCTAAGGTGTGTTTCAGCTGTTGAAATGAGCAAAAGTCACTCCACACACGAGTGGAGCTTCTATTTATAACATGGGCTAAAAAACGAACTGTTATGTGCCTCTGCGGGGTGACCGGACGCTCTGGTCATGTTGACCGGACGCTCCGGTCAGTTCAACCCGCACACCAGTGTTTACGTGTTGACCGGACGCTGGCAGGGTTCGGTCACCACTGACCGGACGCGTCCGGTCTCATTTTTCCCTCACTGGATGCTTACTGTACTCGACCGGACGCTGGATCCTCAGGGTCCGGTCAGCACTGACCGGACGCGTCCGGTCGCAGATTCACTCTTCTAGAACCTTACTGAAGTCGACCGGACGCTGCCTCTCAGCGTCCGGTCACTTGACCACTCAGCGTCCGGTCGCACCAGACGCAATCTCCTTGGTCAAATGAACTGACCGGACCCTGCGGCCAGTGTCTAGTCGCACAGGAGCCAGCGTCCGGTTAGTATTTGACCCTCCATTCACTTCCAACTCTCGATCATACATGAATGAAGTTTGCTCCATTGGATCTTAGGCATATGTAGGAGCTACCTAGCGCTAGTTTTAACAAGTGTGCACCACACCTAACACACTAGACTCATCTAGGTCAAGCTACCCATCCATACCCCCCTCAATAGTACGACCAAAGGAAAAACAAAGTCCTAAACTACTCTAAGTGTCTCTTCAACTCCAATCGACACTTAGAACTAGTCATCCTTAACCTTGTCGTCCATCCTTTGAAAACTGAAACGATTTGTATCGTAGGGGCATGACAACCATAATTGCCCAATCGATCTCCATTACCGTGATCTAACTTAATTGTCTCTGCAAAACACACATTAGTCACAGTAATCTAACATTGTCATTAATCACCGAAACCCAATTAGGGGCCTAGATGCTTTCAACTTTTATGATGCGTATTGTCTTTGCCTAATTTAATATTTATTTTTTATCCCTCAGCTCTCATGTAATTGTCTTTCAAAAATTACAGGAAAACATCCGGTGTCAGTTCGGTCTGGATAACATAAAACTTTGGCCATACATTAGTACACGCACACATATAGAGCTAAACATTTAAACAGATACACTTTCCACTTACTTTGTATTTGTTCGAACACACAAACTCCAATGTATTCTCAGGGTTTATCACAGCTCGATCTCCGCATTCACACAGAGCAGGTTCCTCGAGTCGTCTAACTGCGGATATGTGCTTCTCCTTAGCCGTCATTGGCGGAGGGTTAGGGGGGGTTGGAACCCACCGCTTGAAGTTCTCACATGGATATCTCCCTCTACACTAATCGTCGATAAGGAGGTACCTAGAGTCAAACTTGTCTGCACCATCGATCCACTGAAAAAAGCTCCTCTCATGGTCCTACACAACAAGATTCCAACAAAATATTACTAGCATACTTACACAAATAAAGAAAAAAAGATAGTGGAAATAATTACTTATATTAAAATGATTGCATGTGTAGAAGCAACGCGCCGCTGTGTCTAGATGTCTCGATTGAAACACGTCGGTCGGGAAACCACAGTCACAGTTAGGGACAAGGAGGTCATGAGGGACGGGGGTATCTTTGCTAGACGCGTCGGGGTATAATTCTCGAGGACGGCCCCGTTTTCGCCAAAACTCCTTCCGATACATTTGTTGCATCTAACAAAACGGTTGTAATTTAACAAACAAAAATAAAAAAAATCATAAATTAATGTCAATAAGAACCATTTCCATTACAACAAATAAAATATAACCTACATTTTGGTGCAAACTCTATCTTAGATGCAAACATGAAAACTATATAAAAACTATACTTTGGTCAGTAAAAAATAAAATTTAGTACATCATCAGTGTGTCCATATATTTATTCACATATAAAAATTGAGATGCAAACTCAAACAAGGAAAATACATGGTAATCATAATTCTAACTAACCAATTAATCTTAACATTGGCAATCATAATCCTAATACTTTAATCCAATGTTCTAACGAACTCATATTTTCCTTCATACCCTAACTACTCATTCAAATCATTCGATCCACCGTGGAGGCCGAGGAGGAGCTTCAGGAAAGGTAGGGAGAGGAACGGCAAAGAAGAGAAATTCGGAGGTCGACCGTGAGGGAGCCGGGAGGCAATGGCGTGGCGGTGCGGGCTGGGAGGCGCGGCGGCAGGGGCAGGGCGGCATGGAGGCGGCTGCTGCACGGCGCGGAGTGAAACAGAGAGGGAGGGGCGGGACTGGGCCACGGGCCTATATTAGGCTCTGCCGCGCCCTGGCGAGTGGCGCGTCACTGTCGCGCTTGATGCGTGGCGCGTCATCGCCGCGCCCTAATCGGTGGCGCGGCAGAGCTGACTACGTCACTAGTCAGGAGCTCTGGCCGCTGCCACGTAGGTAGCCTCGCCGTGCCCCCATGCATGGCGCGGCAGCGTTAATTTGCCACGCCGTGTGAATAGGCGCGGCAAAAAGTGTTAGATTTGAAGAAAAAAAACAGTGTTAGTTTTAAAATTAGTTTAAAAATGTGTTAAAAATAAAAAAAATTGCTGTTGAAGAAGATAAGATTTGGATGGGTGCGTGACCTTTTTAGTTATACGTGACCTGAATTATGGAATATGTCTCGTGTTTAGATAGGTGCTGTTGAGATAGTCTAACGAAAAATGGATGGTCATCGGATAGCACTGAAGCAGTCAAGCAGCAGTAGATGTCGTGGGTCAAATCCGTTTACAGTTTTTGCTGTACGATTCGTCGCCGCCTACCCCCTGGAAGCCCCCAAAGTGGGTGACGTAGCGGCGCCGAGAAGCAAAGGGCTCGGTGGCGCGAGGTCGCCAGCGTACAGCCTGTTTGCTCGTTGTTTTTAGTCAGGTTAGTGAACAGTATTTTTTTCTCCTGACAACAAGCACTGGTTGAACTTATCAGCAGCAAACACGTTCGTAGATAGGCACGGCCGCGTGCGACAGAGCGCCAGCCGGCCGCCAGCGCGCGGCACACCACTCGGCGCACCATCCGCCCCCCGCGTGCCAACTGCCCGTCGTCGGGCGTTGCAGCGTAGGAAATCCGACGGGTGGCGCGGCACATCGGGCCATCACGGGGAAGGGAGCCGCCCGGCGCCCGGCGCACGGCCAAAGTAGCATTCCGACGAGACGCTGTGGCGCGCTGGCCGCTTTGGCTAAGCTAGACCTTGTTTAAATTGAAAAAAACAGCTAGAATAGTAGCCTGGATATTGCGCAGGCAACATGCGATTCGATCACTAACTAAACTGTGCAATTAGTTATTTTTTTACCTACATTTAATGCTGACGGACGTGATAAAGGTCCAAAAATTTAAAATTTAAAGGGTATCTAAATAAGGCCCTAGTACTAGCCTGGATGGCGCAGGCGCAGGCGCAGGCGCAGGCGATGCGAGCACGGGCACGGGCTGACGGACGTGATGGTCCAACCGTTTCCTCAGACTTGAGAGATGCCCCCCGGCCTGCCAAAGTGCCAAGAGCACCAGTGGCTTAGAGCACCACTGCTTCCCAATAAACTTCAGTCACATCGTATGTTTAATATTAATTTAAAGTATTAAATATTGATTAATTATAAAACTAATTACATAGATAAAGACTAATTTGCGAGACAAATCTATCCATGATTTGATAATATGATGCTACATTAAACATATGTTAATGATGGATTAATTAGACTTAATAGTTTCGTCTCGTAAATTAGTCTCCATCTATGTAATTAGTTTTATAACTAACTCATGTTTAGTGTTAATTAGCATCCGAACGTCCGATATAACTGGCCCTAAACTTTAATCACTGGATTAAACACCCTTGAAACAGTTTCAGACGTTGGGACCTCTCCAATGTCCACTGTGGCCAGCAACAACACACAGGGATGCCCGTTGCCCGCGACAGTGAAAGGAAAAACGAAGAGCACACATCATCCACAGTTACTAACTTATAAATCAAGTTCTTACAGCACACGGCACAAGAAATATGCCTATAGAGTGGACAAGTGAACAAGTGATTATACAAAGATACAGAAGCACGAAGCTAGCAGTCTCGTTTAGGTGCAGCAACTTGCTGACTTTCTCGTGGAAACGAGCTACGGACGCACAAGCACGAACCCGAATTTTTGGCACAGCAGCTTGCTGACCCGAGAGGTCAAAAACAGCCACGGGAGTATTCCAACCTGCACCAGAGCAACCACCACGTCAGGGACTGCAAAAAAAAAACAAGATTGTGCAGATTTCTACCTAGTAACATTGCATACAAGCCACGTTATGTTCAAGGGTTACTAGGAAATTTGGAGCAAGTAGTTTTCTCCGATCATCCAACGAACAATCCACTTCCATACATACAGGTAAGCAGAGTAAACTCCCAAGGGATTGCATAAAACTACCTTAGCTGCAGTGTCCCAAAAAGTTTAAAAAGCTCCATAGTATTTAGTACTTACCACAACATGGCCGGTGGCAGTATCAACACCTCTCCAGGAAAACATTTTTCCTGTAAAAACAATTAAGTGTCACCATTATTATTATTGGTTACATGAACCACATATATGCAAGGGATCAAGAGTAATCAATTAAAAGGGAATGTTTTCTAACGGCAAAGGCAGCATACAGAAGGATATCCATCTAGGAACAATGTTGTTACTCGACAACCCAAAAGGCAAATAGATATATTCCTGATCTGAAAATGGATCTAGTGATGCAACATTGACAATTTAGATAATCACTTGGATTGCACAAACAAGTTACCTTTTCTCGGGTCAACAATCCACGTCCTTTCTACCATAGTACTTGTATGTTACATGCATAGTAGATCATATAAACTTGTATTCTAGCAGTAGTTGTGAAATGCATGTGGGAAGTAAGTTGCTCCCCATAATGGGTCAGTGTTGCACTGTTGCTAGGAATGTGAAAATTTCCACTCGTAATTCTCACATTCAGGTTGTGCAAAATTCAACCAGACTATTAATATGTGGATAGATTCTATTGACAAATAAACAGACTAGTCACTTGTGCATCACCTAAGGAGCAAATACTGAGTAACAAACAATCTAGAACACTCAGGCGAGTGTCATTGACATACCGAAGGGCTGTAGAAGATGTTGGGGGACTGTAGTAACAGGAGTACTCCAGAAGCACAGAATGAGCACGGCATAAATTATTACCTATTTGATGGACAAGATTAGTATTCATAAGGTATGGTGCATGGCAAAACAAGAAACAAAATGTAGTTCACAGAGGAGCACCTTAGTAACCAACAAAAACTTTGCATATTTGTCGTATAAGGATTGCTTCCCTTTAAGGTCCTGTTCCTGCACTGTAAAGCAGGCAAAGGAAAAAAAAAACTTATGAAGGTTAAAATGCATCATGGCAGCATCAATTCATTTTGCAGAAATAACAAAGAAGCAAGATTTGCTCCCAAACAAACAACAACAATGCTATGGAATACAATTATCTAGCATTTCCAAAAAAAAATGGGCCCTTCCGGTACTGTATTACAGGCCATGAGACCAAGACGAATAGCTACAGAGCAAGACAATGAGAGTTCAGCACTCACTTTTCGCCAGTTCCTTCTCCTTGGCAGCGGCCAAGCGCTTGAGTTTAGCAGCTTGTGCAAATGTGGACGGCCTACACCAGACATACAGGCAAAGAAGCGAGGAGTAATTTGCGGTTGGAAATCATTATTCGATTAATAGTGAAACTTTGGATCAGGAGCAATTAAATAAAGATTAGTGGAGTCACAGCAAAAGCGAGGTTAATTGCCTACGTTGACAACTGATCGGCCTCCTCCAAAAGTTGCTTGATTTCAAGCCGTAGTTTGGTCAGTTCATCACTATGTGCTCCCCTCTGGATCATAAAGCACAGAACACATGAGTGACACGTGAAAACACTAGAGCGAAATTAAGGGGTGTTTGGTTTGTCCTCCTAAACTTTAGTCGTTGTCCCATCAGATGTTTGGACACATACATAGAGTATTAAATATAGACTAATTACGAAACTAATTGCACAACTTACGACTAATTTACGAGACGAATCTTTTAAGCCTAATTAGTTCATGATTTGACAATGTAGTGCTACAGTAAACATATGCTAATGACGATTAATTAGACTTAATAAATTCGCCTCGTGGAGTACCGACGGATTCTGTAATTTTTTTATTAGTATCCGCCCGTGCACCTCCTAAATTTTAGTCGACGGATCCAAACACCCCTAAAACTACCAAACCGCAGGCTACAGGGTACAACAGATAGGGAGACCGGGAAGGCTGGAGACAGCATTCCACAGTCGCCCAATGGCTCAGAAATTTGTCTCAAAATCCAAATTGTCTAGTGCCATAGAAACAGTTCCTCGGAATCAGAGTCCAATTCATGGCCGGAATAGACGGAATCGCTGGCAGGCTACTCTTCCGCCCAATCAGAATTCACGGAAGATCCAGGGCTCCAGACGAGAAGACGGATGGGAGGGGCAACGCGCGATGGGGAGCAGGGGAGGGGGGTCGGCGCTGACCTTTCTGGCGAGGTCGAGGTAGCGGTCGAGCAGCTGCAGCGCGAACACGAGGAGGAAGACGAAGATAGACGCCAGGGACATGGTCGCCGGCGGCGGCGGAGCGAGGCGGAGCCCGGTCTCTCCGCTCTCCGGTCGGGTTGGGGGAGTTGGGACTCGCAACGTGTCTCCACAGATGGACAGAACCGGGCCTACTCGGGTAGTCGGGTGCCCGTCGTCGCGACAACGGCGAGATGTCCGTGCACGCGGCCCATTTGGAGTTTTCATTGCCCACGGACCGACAATGGCGAGATGTCCTTTATCTTCCCTTGCAAAACAATCGGGTGAGCTCCAATAAGGCCCAGCCCAAAAGTAATCTGACTTGAACTTTTGAACCTAGCCCACCTAACCCGAGCGTCATCATGAACTGATGAACCCCAACTGCAACTAATCAAGGCAACCACAACCACAGATGGCTCAATTGATCTAGAACAATCCGAAAGGAGGGAGAGGCCACGTCACACCAGCCGAAATATCTACCAGGATCAACCAGCCAATAGGACGCCAGCGAGCCCAACACCTGGCGACGCCGCAAAATTCACCTACGGGGGCACCGGGCACGGCAAAATCCCCAGCCAAAATTCACGGCGGGGGCACCGGCCACGGCAAAACCCCCGGCAAAGACAAAAACCCGCTGGCCACTCACCCGGCGCGGTGAGAATATCTGGCGGAGACCTGGTGGGCAGCGCGCGGCCACATCAGCCACCCCATCCACCCACCTCACCTCCGGCGGGCCAATGGCGACTCGGCTAAAGATTCCACGAGATAAGGACCCGATCGCTTTCGCGACGCTATTTAGCCGGGCGCGCCCGCCCCGGTACACTCCACCAGCAGCAGCTAGCAACCGGTCCAACACTCTCACGTACGCTCGCAGCTCAGCAATGGCCGCCTCCACCATGTCGATCTCCTCCACGGCGATGGCCGGCACCCCCATCAAGGTGGGCTCCTTCGGCGAGGGCCGCATCACCATGCGCAAGACCGCGGCCAAGCCCAAGGTGGCGGCGTCCGGCAGCCCGTGGTACGGGCCCGACCGCGTCAAGTACCTGGGCCCTTTCTCCGGCGAGCCCCCGAGCTACCTCACCGGCGAGTTCCCCGGCGACTACGGCTGGGACACCGCCGGGCTGTCCGCCGACCCCGAGACCTTCGCCAAGAACCGCGAGCTGGAGGTCATCCACTCCCGCTGGGCCATGCTGGGCGCGCTCGGCTGCGTCTTCCCCGAGCTGCTCGCCCGCAACGGCGTCAAGTTCGGCGAGGCCGTCTGGTTCAAGGCCGGCTCCCAGATCTTCAGCGAGGGCGGCCTGGACTACCTCGGCAACCCCAGCCTGATCCACGCGCAGAGCATCTTGGCCATCTGGGCGTGCCAGGTCGTGCTCATGGGCGCCGTCGAGGGCTACCGCATTGCCGGCGGGCCGCTCGGCGAGGTGGTTGACCCGCTCTACCCCGGCGGCAGCTTCGACCCCCTCGGCCTGGCCGACGACCCCGAGGCCTTCGCCGAGCTCAAGGTGAAGGAGCTCAAGAACGGCCGCCTCGCCATGTTCTCCATGTTCGGCTTCTTCGTCCAGGCCATCGTCACCGGCAAGGGCCCGCTCGAGAACCTCGCTGACCACCTGGCTGACCCAGTCAACAACAACGCCTGGGCCTACGCCACCAACTTCGTCCCCGGCAACTAAACTCATCAGTTGGCTATGCAACTCCATTGTCTTTCGGAGAGGGCGCGTACGTGGATTGATTGATGCTGCAAGTGAGCTGCATGTGTGTCTCTTGTTTCACGTTGCATTTCAAGGGAAAGTCGAGATGATGAGTTGGCGTTGTACACTAAGATGAACGATGTTTGTGCAATAGTAGTTGTGGTTTCATTCCTGGTGGTTAATTATTGATTTGTCAGATTAAGGCCATCCATTAATTTGTTCGTCTGCGATGCTTTCTGATGTTTTATGCTTCCTTTCCTCTCTCTAGCTAGCTCTAGGAATTTTACTCTCTCACGAAGGCAAGCATAAGTGCTTGGATAAACAGAAACTATCAATGAAAATGAAAGTAGGTTTATATCATTTAAATTTGGACAAACAAACAAGATATGCACATGAATGAAATGCGTAAATTCACACAATAAGCAACCGTCCATAACTCATGACTGACCCTGCAGTCATACGCCTTGTCCCCTTCTTTAAATGGTCACTCATGTAATTCTTCACAAGACACAAACAACATCATACATTCATAACCTATTCCTACCATCGTTTTGTTGGATTGTGTCCACCCAATTGAGGCCAGCAGGCCGCCACCTGTTGGCACCGATGATACCAGCACTGCTCTATCATCTCCAGATCTATAAGGCCCCTTTGAAATGTGGACTTTTTTTTATGAAACATGTGTTTTAATTTTCTCGTGAAAATGAACTAATTTCTTTGAAATTTCTATACAATTTTGTGTCTCAAATGATCTCTAAGTGTCACGGTGATGTTCTAGTGTTACCCCTGTCTGTGCAAAATACATGTTGTAAAACATGTTGCCCATAGTTAGGACCTTTTCCCCTTTGTCTCTCATGATCAACACGGTAGATACATGTAGAAGAACACAAAGATACAATGTCAGGGAACTATAATTTATTCTTTGATTGTTTGATAATTATAATGTAGAGCTCCCATGTATATATAGGGCTTGTTTGGACCTTATTCTCATAGTTAAATTCTGGATTCTAGATACTGAATATAGAATCTGGATACAAAATGAGGGGCGTTTGGATTTTATTCTCATAGTGATTATTGCCTTTTCATAGTGATAATCTCCGAATACTAGGTTTAGGGTACATAGTTGGATTCTAAAATACAAGTGTTTGGATCTTATTCTCATTTTTCACCCCATTCTCCTTTTTATTAGTAGATCCAGACAGGGCCATAATCCAGGTAAAATCAAAGAGTTTGACTAGAGCCCATACAGTGAACAAACTAGGGTCAGCTCCTAGAGCAACTTCTAGATTGAATTCAGGGGGAGCTCTGCAAAATATTTTTTTAAGGGAGAAGTGATTCTCTGAAATGAACTTAGAGGCCAGGAGCTAAAAAAGTAGCTTCTCCTGATTCACTCAACGCACAACATCACTATATGCATAGAGTTTATCATAGAGAATCGTTGATAGTTAAATAATTCTAAATTTAACTACGTATAAAAACAATTAATATTTATTAATGTATGATATGTATAAATTAATTATAGGATATACTTTTAAATACATTTATTTGAAGATATAAATGTCGATATTTAAATTTAGAATTGTTTGACTTTTCTCCTATCGGTAATGCTCTCCTCGGGGACGTCCGACGTCCGGATGCCCAGCGATTCACCCCCTTCCTCTGTGGCCTTTCTTTAAGCCAGCAGGCAACACGCACATCACTATATATAGAGTTTATCATAGAGAATCGTTGATAGTTAAATAATTCTAAATTTAACTCAAGTTTGGTTTTGGTTAATTGATAAAACCCTAAACAGTTTATCAAAGTGATTGTAAGATAGGTAGCACTACTCCAAGTTAATATGGCATTGATGATCAAATGTTTGAACTTGGAAAAGAAGAAAGAGAAAAAATAAAAGGTTCAAGATAAAGATATAAATTAATTTTGTTTCATGATCATACTTATTAAGAGGGGTGAAACTTCGTAATAAATGCGGTTATCAAAGTGTCACTAGATATAAACTCATTGCATATATTTATGATCTATTAACACCCTAAAATGTGTTGTGAAAATATGCTAACACATGTGCACAAGGTGATACACTTTGGTTGGCACATTTGAGCAAGGGTTAGAAACTTCATCGGCCAGATTTAAAGAGTGACCGAGACGAGTATAGCGTCCGGTCAATGACAACAAAGCTTATCTCGGTCTTGTGTGGCCGGACCGGACGCCGAATCATAAACCCCGGACGGATGGTGCATAGTCCGGTCAAGTCCGTCGATCTTGGCGACTGTTGACGTGAGGCGCCTGAGAGAAGCGTTGAGTGACCGAACGCAGGTGTGTCCGGTCGAGCATGCCCGGCGTGTCCGGCCGTGAAATGTTGCGTTTGGAACCTTACCAAAACGACCGGACGCCAGCCGTCCGGTCACTTTCTAACCGACGCGTCGTCGGTCATCACTTGACCGTTGAAATCGGCGATCGACGTTTGAAGCCGGTTTGGCACCTTCCAGACGACATCGGACGCCGAGGTCCAGGCCTTTCATCCGGTCGACCCGCAGTTCGGTCGCGAGGGAGCCCAACGGCTCTATTTTATGGGGGCTTCTATTTAAGTCCTATGGCCGGCTCAAGCTCACTCTCTTGGCCATTTGCATTGACATAACAACCTTGTGAATTTAGCCAAAGTCCTCTCACTCATCTCCATTATTGATCCATCATCATTGTGAGATTGGAAGAGAATCCAAGTGCATTGTTTGAGTGATTGCATCTAGAGGCACTTAGTATTCGTGTTTTGCTACGGATTTCGCTTGTTGCTCTTGGTGGTTGCCACCACCTAGGCCTTGTTGCAACGATCGAGGATTGGCACGCGTGGCCATCTCCAAAGATTGTGAGGGGATTTGTACCTTCAAGTAACTCTAGTGGATTGCTCGTGTCATTGAGTTACCTCAATTCTTGCGGTGTGAAACCCGTGTGGAAGGTTTGCTAACCTTAGCCTTGAACCACCAAGTGTTGGTCGACACAAGCAGGGACGTAGCATGTTGGCAAGGGTGAATCTCGAGAAAATCGGTTGTCTCTTGCCATTTGGTATTCTCCTAGTGATTAGTTTAATATTCATCTTGTGATTGGTTCACTTCTCTACACGGCGGTGATATAATCATCCTACTCACTCATTTATATTCTGGCAAACTAGTTGTGGCAAGCTCTTTAGTGTCATTAGAATTGAGAGCTTGCTTTGCTAATTAAGTTCATCTAGTGGAGCTCTTTAGAGTAACAAGGTTGAGAGCTCTTAGTGAGTAGTATCATAGCAAGTTGTGTGACTAGCAATCATTACAACTATAATTATTGGATAGGTGCCTTGCAACCCTTGTAGAGCTAGAGTAA